CCCCCCCCCCCTCCCTCCCCCCAAAAAAAATAATCGAAATGCATTGAAAAGGAAAGATACAAAATAGCTGAGAAACACCAACATATTGTACGAATTTAATAAAAGCAATAACAGACTTGTGCAAGTCTTTTGAAACGAAGAAAAATTCAAAAAGACAAACAATCAGACAATAGTGTCCGTCGCTGACGTCAAACTTCATACATTTTTTGAAAATGTACAATAGCTCTGCTGCTCGTAAACTTCGAAGCATAGAAAGTCAAGGCTTTATATATCTATTCCAGAGTGACAAATTACCCTCGATCCCGTCCCCATTCTTTAAACGTTATTTAATAGGTACCGGGGTATATTCTTAATCACCTATAAGACTCCAAATCGCCCTAACAACATCAATCTGTCCGTTTATAGTTCCGTTGTTGAGATTTTCATTAATATACCAAACCTAAAAGGTGTTGGAGATTTTCCTAGCCTTCAACACGACGCGATCCCTAGACAAATTAGCTTACAATAGGTAAAAAATTTAAAAAAAAAAAAAAAATTTGAAACTAAAATTTAACAAAAATAACGGTAATGTCGGTCGACTTACTACACCGCTCACAGTTCATTTTTATGAATTTTCGAGGTAACTGTACTCTAGCGTTTACCAAGAAACGAAAATAACTCTTGAGTGACTAAGTCCATCGATTTTTGTTGTTAAGATCACATTAAATCAAAAAAAAAAAAAAAAAAAAAAACAAAAAATTAAAGCTTAAAACGAACTCTCACGTCCTCTGCTGGTGTCCATTACTCAGTAACAAACGATTATGAATTTAATCTATCGGATCCATTCGAAAGCTGCTTCATCTAGCTCACAGATCATGGAAGTGATGCCGTTGGAAGCAAAAAAAAAAAAAAAAAAAATTATTACTGATGCTTAACCACGATTGACTGGTTTAGGTTGAAGGCACATGCATGTCAACTCGATCAGTATATAAAATTTCGGTCAATGACCTGAGCGTGATGAAGCTATTTCAACAAGGCGACATTCATTGCGTGCTTGCGAGTGAAAAATTTTGCAGCAAAATGAGAACTGTTTTCAATTAGATCGATTTGTTAACTTTAAATAAAATTCAAGTTTATTTCTACGGTCACTGAAATACGAGAACAGAGTGCATGTTATCTTAATTCTAGTTTTTCAGCTCAAAAGAAGCCAAAAAACACTTAAACCTTCAAACTAAAATACGGGAGGAAAGTCCTATATTATCCATGACATTTTCTTACAAGTATTTGAGAGTATTTTATATTACTATACATGTCCAAGATGATAAATGGTCAAGCTTTGCCTTTGATTATCTCTGTCTTGGTTTTCGACAGGGAGTCGCATATGAATACAACGACAATCCATTGCATAACATTTATGAGGCGAATGCACCGTCTCAAACATAAACTCCGATCCCAATTAAATAAATAGAATTAGCAAGAAAATGACTAACGTGATCGCACAAGAGATCTAACAAGCATTACAGCAAAATTGATCGTGATATGTTGAACATGGTGCCATACCACGTGCACACGCACTAAAAATCTCTTTTTAAAATATTTTCCTGAAACTTTTTGACGAAATTTTTTCTAAAAATTTATGTCAGAAATATTTTACGATTGTTTTTTTTCTTTTTTTTTTCTTGAATTTACCTAAAATGATTAATCGATAGGACGCGTTAGAAGATGTGCGGGCTGCGTGTTGGACAGGCATGTCGCAGGCAAAACTTGCCTGAAATCTCTGTCTGAATCATCCCCTAAATCGTTATATAGAACAATAACAAATTTAAATGCAATATGTTGCCATCGTCATTGGTCACAGTTGCTCGTGATGCTATTTTTACGCAACAAAATTGCTTTTTTTAAGGAATTTTAATTAAAATTTCAAACTTGACTTATCGCTTGTATTCATACATACATGTACACCCATAGTCGTATAGTTCTAACCATTTGAACCTCAACAAATGGATGATAGATGATGTAGTGAAAGTTGCAGCAAACAGAACAAATATAAAAATGTTAAAAAAAAGCATAAACGCGATTACAATAAAAAAAAATATTAGGGCATTTTATTGAAATTACACAAACGATGAGTAAACTTTTTTTTATTTGCCATTTTTTAATTTTTTAATTTTTTTTTTTTTTTTTTTTTTGCTTTTAATTTGCAGGGTCTTTTAATTAGCTGCAATCAGATGTCAGCCGAATATCTCTTTATGACCGATAAACAGTACGATATTAGCTACGATACCGGTGATAAGGTTATACAATGCGGTCGTCATAACGACATATTCAAGTTATGGCTGCAATGGCGCTCCAAGGGCACCGAAGGATTCGAACGCCAACAGGATCGTTTAATGGAATTGACCCACTATCAGGTGAAACGCATTAAAGAGCAATCAGATCGTTTTCACTTGATTATGGAACCAGAGTGCGTTAATGTTTCCTTCTGGTATGTACCTAAACGGCTACGCGGAGTACCTCATGACAAAAGGAAGGAACAAGAATTGGGAAAGGTACATATATAGCGCGTTAAGTCGCAAAATGGAAATAACATTATGTTTTAATCAACTAAAAATAAAAAAAATAAAAAATAAAAATATAAAAAAAATTATAATAATAATAGTAAATTAAAATAAATATTTCTTACAGATTTGCCCCATCATAAAAGGACGCATGATGCAAAAAGGTAGTTTAATGGTCGGCTATCAGCCCGATGATCGTCGACCAAATTTCTTCCGATCAATTATATCATCATCGGCCGTAACCGAACAAGATGTTGATTATATGCTCGATGAAATTCATCGTTTAGGCGATGATTTGTAAATTATTTATAAGCTAAAGTAAAATCTAAACAAAAAAATTAATTTAACTTTAGATGTTAATTAAAAGGTTATTTAGGTTTTTCTCTGATTTGATTCATTGGTTAATATGGAAAAAGAAATGTAAGAATGAACGAGCACACACCTATACATATATATATATATATATATATATAAATATATTTATGAAAATATTAAGATGGTTTCTCCTAATCAGAAACCTTTAGATTATATATATAGAAGAAAAATAAGCCCAATAAATGATTACAAAAACAATTTAATAACCAAGAAGTATCTTTAAGTCAAAAGCATATCACACACTCATACGCACCGATCCTTAGCAAAATTATAATCACCATTTCTTCATATGAATATCTTTATAACATTGTTGATGTATTTGTTTATATATTAATGAAAGCAAAAAAAAAAAAAACAAAAAACATAAAAAAACAAAAAAAAACAAAAAAACAAATATTAATATTTACAAAACTCATGTACGTACGGAATGTTGTGTTAAAAATTTTGTGGGAAATCTATAAAACTGTTGAAAAAAATATTATTCTAAACTTATTTATTGAATATTACTGAAGCAAACAAATGTATACAACACTGTACACATACACATTTATATATGTATATTGTTATTATATTTAATCCAAATGAAATCATTAATTATAAGTAAATATCATTTTCGCGTTTTGTTGTCATTACTTAAATCATTCACCATCGTACGCTATCGAAAGTTAATAAACACGAAGCTTTGACTCCTCATTAAAGTCATAAAGAATGGATGACTACGACTACTACTATTACTACTACTATTACTACTACTAATACTACTACTACTACTACTACTACTAGTACTACTAATACTACTGTTACTACTATCAGTAAATGATTAGAAAGAAATGAAATATGGAAAATATTAAAAATTATATTCATTTCGGGTCCAACTTTGGATACCTGACAGATCAAGTAATTTAAAAAAAATCATATAACCTTTTCCTAGATTTATTATGGAACCATCAAGTTTATTTTGTGCAACGCTTCCATCTCATACAATTTGTAAATGTTTTAGTAGCTCAAATATCTTTTGTAGTTTTTTTTTTTTTTATTTTCATTTTGTAAAAATTGCTTAACTCAATAATACATAGCAAGATTCGTCTTCTTTTCAAATTTGCGCAATTTAGGAAAACTTTAAAGTTAAGATCACAACAATTTTTCACTTTGTTCCTTATAGAGTATAAGAATTTTAAGAATTTCATGAGTTACGTTAATAAACTTTAATCGAAATCTACTGAAAAAGTATCTCCTCCTCTCGGACTTCTTTTCCGATCTGACGGCAACTTTAAACCTAAAATTCGCTTTTAGGAGAATGTTCGACATCTAACATCTCAAACTAGGCACTGGCCAGTGATTGTCGCTAATGGCAGTTTAACGCTAACGCTTGTAAACCTATGATATATGCATCTGAGCCCAATGTATAACTGTCAACTAAGAAGTGTCTAGTTTTAATTTTCATCCTCCAGCTTTACAGTCAGAAGTGAATAGACACTCGCCTGATAACGGACAATGAAAGGGAAAGTTAATACTTAGTACTACGTGAACTCAAATTTTTCAAAAGAAAAAAAAACTTTTTCAGCTTAATATGGCTTAAGTGCCTAAGACAATCGAAGATGCTTTTATGCTTATGCCAATTAACGATCGAAAACTTGTGATAACTTCATGTTCTCATAGCGTCTCTTATATTCATTTGTACTTCTTCTTGAACAGCAAGTTTTGTATTTCTCTTGCTTACATCCATCTTAATGTTCATACGTACGAACTTGACTCGCTGAAAAGGATTTAAAAGCATAAAGAGGAAAGCTTAATTATATGCTAATGTCATGGCTCATCATGGCCAATGGCAATTACGAGCGATTTGACAGCAACTTTTTGGACAACAATTTTATTGATTCTATTTTTTATTTATTTTTTTTTTTTGCTTCGCTTTTAAAACAACCGTGCAATAAACATTTATGAATTCCACAGGACCTTATAGATCCACACCTGTGATGAGCAAGCTAATACTTCACCTGATAAAGGCAATAAATGCCAAAAAAAATATGCTCGAAATTCCGTCTTACTTACAATCTGTCCTAAAGGAGTTTTCAAATTTTCTCTTCATTCCTTCAATCGTCCAATATTAACAACAAGCTTTGTGAGGTTACTTCAGCAATGATTATTATTCTTACTGCTTTTGATTTTTTCCTTTCTTTCTGTTTCTTTGAACGATCAAATTCACGCATGCACGTTAATGTATTCTAAATATACACACAAAAAAAATTACAAAAAGAAAGAAAAGCATAGAAGGCAAAGAACGTTTTATTCTCCTTAAAGCGAATCAACCATGCCCGCCATTTCAAATAAATAATAAATGTTAATAGGCTATTAAATGTTAAGGTCAAATATATGAAGATAGTGCTACAAATCTCAAGTAACATGAGTTCGAAATGAGCGAAAGAATTATACGAACATTAGTTAGACGAACACACATCCAAAGCTTTTCTCCAATTATGGGCAGTTTAATGAATGAATCGACATTAATTTTTGGTCTCAAGTTCAAGACTGTTCAAGTTTTAATTTCAGATTTGCTATAGGCGACTCGCCCGCCTCTGAACAATTCTATTAGCAATACTTTCTCCCACAATGCTAGACAAGCACTCCTACCTTTTTTCATCTCTCTCTCTCTCTCTCTCTCTTTCTCTCTCTGTACCCTATAACCCTTCCTGAACACCATCGTGCTCCCACGTACAGGTGACACCTCTTGCAATTTTCAAGTATTGGTTTTTATGCAATTGGCGAGTGCTTGAACGAAACAGTCAATTCTTGACCAAAGCAACCAGGCCTTTTTTTTTTGGAAATTAACTTATCGAAATTGTCCTACATATTTTTATGGAGAATTCGATAAAAAGGCATTTAAAATTTCAAGTGCTCCGTACACTGCCTAACAATTATGTTGCAGAAATGAAATTGTTTGGCAAGCTTCCAAATCTGGCCACGCCCACAATAGTCTTTTGCTTTTTAAGAATATAAACATTTCGCTTTTAATAGCGAAAGATCCAGTGAAATGGCCAAATATTTATGTGTAATAAACGCGGGCTTTGTTTTATCCTTACATTAGACATTTTCTAGAATTTCCATTTTATTAACGGGCTTATAATAATTCCAAAATATATTCTTCCGATAACGTTTTACAGGTTAAAATATTTTGCCGGGATATTTCAATGAAAATTTAAATAAATAATAATAAATATAACAAAGCGAAGTATATTTTTTTCCAAAACTCACTTCCAATTATCTTATCTTACGACTCATATTTTGAAGTTTTTCTTTCAAACTTTATTTTATTTATTTATTTATTTTTATTTATTTATTTATATTTTTAAATTTTTTTTTTTTTTTTGGCAATTGCAGGCGTGTTCACCATGTGGTTTAGGAAATTAGGCAAAGAACATGTTTCGAAATTTGACTTGTCACTTAGGAAGCAACTAGGTATTACAAACGGACAGACAAATATTTCGTCTTTATCTATATATAAAACGCTTTGCGGATATATATGTTGCATCTTTGTTGTTTCAGCCCATATTATGTGAAACTGCCAAAAAGCAAAAGAAAAAAAAAAAAAAAAAAAAAGGGAAAAAGAAAAAGACGGATAAGCGCTGTTAAAGACAAAAATCATATACGAAATCTTTGCCATCTTTGTCGCAATCGTGTACCTTTGTAAAATGAGACCTGCACTTAAAATATCTTCCTATAAGAAATGCTCCACACAAATTCCTAACGCGTACAAAACATATATGTTTTTTTGATTTTATGTTTCCGTTGTTGAAAAAATAAAAAAAAAAAAAAAAATATATATATATATATATATATAACAAATAAATGAAAAAGTAATTTATATTTAAATTAATTAGATATTAATGAATTAGGAAAGAAAAACCAGAAGAAAAAAGTGCATAACAAAAACACTTACAAGTGTCAATTATCCAAATAGCAGAATGAGTATAAAAAATAAAAGCGAAAATAGTTGTGCTGTCAGTATAAGAAGTAGATACAAACGAGAAAAAAACGAATGGCATAAAAGCGTTTAAAATTTAATTTATGTATAAACAAAATGCTAAAAATTAATGCTGATGTAAAAAAAAAAAATATATATATATATATTAGCGAAACTTTGAAAATATTTTTAGTTAAGAATTACTTCCTATGATTAAAAAAAAAACTAATAATAATCATAATTGTTTTCTTTATATGCATGTACGTAGTTTTATAGTATGTTACGTCCTCGCCTATCTACTGTGTGTGTGTATTGCCGCTGCCTCTCACAATATCTCCTATAATTAATAAATATTTTGGGTATATGTACAGATAGCCGGGACAGGCGTTTACGGTCGTCGCATACTGTTTTTACCGTTACTGTTCAACTTCAAGAAAACCTGAAAACTTCAAGTGAAGAGATAAGGCACAAATTGACTAATGAAAGTGAGCTTAAGTGGAGAGAGCTTTTAATATCTTGTTTTAAATTTGCGTGTACCGTATAATGCGCAAACCACATATACATATATATATATATATATATACTACATGGATAGGGGAAAAGAGCTCTTACATAGTTTATCGATAAACAAGATAAAAATTCAAATTTTCCAAATCCTTTTTGTTTGCATATTCGAAAACCATTTTTTTTTTTTTTTTTTTGTATTCTTTATTTTCATTTTGTATTGCAATAATCGCTTCGAGAGCTTTTACTCATTTTTCTGAATTCACTGAATTTCTTTTTCTTGTTTCGTGAACGAGGTGTATCGCCTCGCATTCTATTTCTTGTGTACGTTCTAATGTCTTCCGCGCCGTACATTGATAAACGTTGTTTCCTAATCAGTCCGTTAAATTTTTTACTTCATTTACCAAAGGCAAACATCTAAGTAGTACACTATCTAGCAACACTTGAGCTAAAAAAATTCATCGCGAAATAATTTTAAAAGCAAGCCTTTGTTTGTTTCCGAATCGGGGTCGCGATATCGTGTAAACTTGATCGTAATTTAAGTAAATGACTCGACAGCAATTTTACGATCGAAAGATTTTTCCATCGATACTAAGCAAAAATCAATCCATCCATATTTTATCGACATCCGTAAACTCTCTGCTCGCCACAGCGAATCTATATACCGGCACCTGGTTCGTCAACATGTTCACATGAATTTTATTCCACCAACGCTTGCAATACCTATTCTCGCCGAGTTGTCTCTTTCTAAGTTCATTTATTCTTCGCCTATTCCTCTACCATCCTATTTATTATAATTTAAAAAAAATTTAATGGCGCGAATTGCTTTTATCGCAATTTTCACAATTTAAAAAAAAGACAACTGTTCCAACCTCTCATATAGCAAGTTCATGTGGTTTGTTTTATATCCTTTTCGCCTTTACGTCTGCGTCTCAACTGAAAGATATTCGTTTTTATTATTGCACAAAGACCTAAGAAATTCGCATATATAATTACTTTTGTTAATTTTAAACACAAAACGCATATACACACACACTTCAATCCTGTGCAAGGTAATGAAAAAACGATAAAACTATGAAAAAATTCGTAAACCATTTAAAATCTTGCATATATTTTATTTACACAAAGCAATTTAATGCGCATCAACATTTTACATACAATGATAAAAAAAAAAAGAATAAGAATAAGTAAACAAATTTTGTGTGTCGGCCTATTAGAGAATGGAATGAGAGACCTCGCTCTATGGCAAATACGAAAAAGCAACTCAACAAGTAAACGATCTATGCATTTTAGTGTTAATTTCATAGTTTGAACAAATTAAAATTTATTATATTGAAGTGTATGTATTGTAATTTAAACACCCACATATATACACATATATGCACATACATACACATACACATACATACACACAAACATACACGTATTCAAACGTATGTAACGATATATTATTCAATGAACTAAAATAAAATGATAAAAACATAACGCATTAGACTTTAATATTAGAATGGATTCGTATTCGTATATTTCTTACCCATTCTGACGTATGTAATTAGTTGTTCTAGTAATTCGATAATAAAAATTATCTATCCACGTCCACGTTGTTTCTACAAATTTCGTTCTTTTTAAGAATTAAAAACAAAAACAAACCGTTTTGGATGCGTTTACATTCGCTCAACTATTTCTATCATCATACCGCTGAAAAAATATTAAATCATTCAAAGACTCCGTAGCTTGGCAAGGAAACAATGCAAATTAATTTAGTAGGAAAGTAAATTTATTCTTCTTTCGATTTTCCAATTCGTTTATAACATATCTGGTATAATTTTCTTGCGGGAAATTTAAAATATTTATCTATTGCTGCTGTGCTTATAAACTATCATCATCATCTCATCGAGCTACATGTATGGCAGGTAATTTTTGATTTTCGAGCATCAATGCGGCTATCGCTAGAACGTATTTGCAACGGGGAAATAGTGAAAATTTACTTTTCTTTAACGATGCCAATGTAAAAGAACTGGTTGAACTTGTATACGAAGGTCAAACATAGACACATAGACCACAACCGATGACCGCACAATTCGCATATACAGGCAGAGTGCTTGCAGATCTTGCCTGCAGGCGTGCGATCGCGTACATGCGCCTCAGTGACGAAAGCATATTCAATACCTTCAATACGCTTGCGCACCGATGTAATATGAACGCTAGTGTGCATATGTACACCCGGGCAATTTGCTTTACAGAGGTTAAGGAGCTATCTCTACCAATCAAGTCTTTTAACGGAACTACGGCGCGTTAATAGCCTTCCCATCCGTTCTAGAGTTGTCTATAATACGCTGCTGCCGCTCGTCGTTCTTTAACCGCGCTGTTCTCTCTTCGAACGATCCATGCACGGCAGTCTTTCCCGTCGTTCTGGAAAACAACTTTGTGGTTCCAAAGTAAAATGGGCATCGACCCATGTTCAGCTTTACAGAGCCGCTGCTCTACTTAATATGACTGTATTGCTCTGAACGCGTGGTAATCAGCAAGAAACAGTTCTGATGAATATGCCGCCATCGAAAGATGTTTCCTGCCCAAGTTAAAGGTCTTTCCTTTTTTGCTTTTGCTGGCCTCTCGGTGGAGGCTCACGAGCGTAATTGAATTTTCATCATTTTTCAAGACTACAATTTTTGACTCGAAATCTTACAAACCATTTTTTAACTTTAGAAAAACAGAAAAACATGCAGTGACATAAATGACATCCATACCCTTTTCCTTTGATATATGCCGAGGACAACAGTTTCTAAACGACTTATACCATACAAGCAACTATGTCCATATTATCTTTATCGGGATTATCGGGGAAATTGAACGCATCAAATAAACATATTACGCCACGAATTATTTAGAAAGTATTCTCGGTATCAAAATTATGGGAATTTCAATAAGAACTGCGCTATTAAATTTGTTGCTCAGATTAGAAATCGCGAAGGGCATAACGGAGACGTTAGCAAAATGGCTGCAGGATTAGTTGACAGTTCATCAGGCGAGGCATATAAAAGACAAATACGTATGGCAGAGCAAAGCTTTGACCTTCTGTTAAAGCTAAAATTATGACGAACGGATGGCTTAGGATGAACGAAACATGTTGGTTGCACTTTGCTACGAAACAAACATTTTTTTATAAATTTTTATTAATATTATGCTTTGGCATTTTCCGACAGTAGTAAGTTATTTAAACACATTAGCTTTCACTTATAGTTAAGCTTCAAAATGTAAGCAATGTGGCTTGAAAGAGATTTTGACCAGCAGCGAAGATATTAATTAATTTTTTAGAACTTTTACCAATCAGTAAGAAATAATTGATTATCCAATAGCATAGATAGATATAAAATAGAGTAGAACTTAAGCAATGCATGCGAATTTGTTAGAAAAATGCAAAGATTGAGGCTTTGGACCTGATGAAGAATGGATACGCACAAGTTGAATAAGGATAGGATCAAAGCTATTGCTTTCTTGTTGATGAGTCCTGAGCAAATCAACTTTCCACACTATAATCGCTAAGATGAAATTTCAAGGTGCTCCTCCTCGGGCAGAAAGTCTACATGTTGTATTTTATACGACAGATTATATCACAAAAAATAAATAGTTCTGTGAATACGGCTCGGCGTGAGGCCTATTCGAAGTGTTTACTTATTATTTACGGAAAAGCATTGAATGCGAACGGTTATTGGTCGTCCTAAAGAATGTAAATTTAAAATGAATTTTTTTTTTTTTTAGTCTCTTAACTAGGAAACAATTTATTAAAACTATGTTTTGATAATCGTACGATACGACTCGAGCGCAGCTGCATGATAAACTTATACAGAATTGATTTTATACTCATATAAAAAACATATTCACCTCTGCTTCTAACAATGGAAGCTATTTTTGAAGCCGCCTGGCCTTCGAACAGATTCACAAGTCTTACAGAGTGTGAATCTACAGTTCATAGACAGGACCATCTCACGATTATCTAAAAAACCAAATTGCCCAATAGGAAAAGATCAGGAACGAACGTAAATTTTATTAACAAGACATGAATTGTAGCACAAATCGATTTAAAATTGTGCTCATTGTATATATCGTACAAACCATTGAGTACTGGCATTATTTGATAAATACTCAAATCGAACACTTAGGAGAGAATTTATAATCACGCCTTCTATTTCAATGTATACAATTAATCATCAAAATTATGCTCAATTTTTCCATAATTGTAATGACAAAGAAGACAATAGTAGAAGTACATACAGCAAGACATTTGGTGGATATAAAAAGGTTCTCTCGAACCTCACTTCTTTATTCACATAAAAAACCCACTTAGATTATATTTGTTAAAACAAATTATTTTTGGACGTTTTCATATTTTCATAATAACATTAAAGAGCAGATAAAACAATAAAATTATTTACAAACAATTGTTAATAATGATAATGCTTTCAAAAAAAAGTAAACTCTTAACAAAGACTTAATATAAACGTTGCCGCGATACGTATTGCAATAATTAGATTTAAATATAACATAAAATTGAGATTTATTTGTACGTTTAAGTTTAAAAATAGAAAAAAAAAAAAATTAAAAAAAATCGAGAAAAACATTAATAAAAAGCTTTATTCGTTATTGTTATTTGTTTCTTTTAAATATAAACCGCATAGCAATACAGCCTTAATTTTGCTTTAAATCCCCTAAAATATGCAATTAGATATTCTCTATCGAGAGATTCACGAACATTTGGTTTATTTTCATATATATATATATACAAAGGTAAATGTATTATGAATAAATAATAATGATGTTGGTTTTATCAGTTTAGAATAATAATAATAATGATGATGATAATAATGAAGTGCGTCCTTATAAAATAAAAATAAGTTGTCAACCGTGTTTTACAATAATATATATGTAAATATATATTTATATATATTTTAATAAAAATTATTGTGATAATTATTGGCAAGCTCTGCTGCTTTCTAGTTTTAACTTATTTATCTATTTATTGCAGTCATTATAATTATTTATTATTATTTATTATTATTTTCTATGTATATATGTACGCATGTGAAAACAATTAATTAATGCTAATTATGAATACACGATCCTTTTCCATAAGTACAATATTATTAGTAGTAGAAATAGCCATAAGACATAAAGGCTGCATATAAATATTTAAGCAAATCTGTCTTTTCATTGTTTACTTGTTTTACTTGCTTTTATAATTTAATTATCATTTTTGTACACATCAATAATGAATATTAAAAATATAAATACAAAATTTTATGGATTAGAGATTTTCGTATGTGTGTTAAAAATGAAAAAATTTCTTATAAATATATGCAAACACATACAAATATACCTCCAAAACGTATATCCTCAATAATAAAAATTGTAAATCCAAAATTTCAACAGCAAAAGTAGAAAAGAGTATAATGTATAGATAATGTACAGAAAAGTGTAATGAAGTATAATGCCACATCGAGGAAGGAAGAAAATGAAGAAGCTACCACGTATATAAACGCAAACGCATGTGAGGAACGCAGAAGAAAAACAACTAAAACAAAAAAAGACATTGTCCAGGAGCATTTAATAGGATGGTAAGCGTCTTATTCATCATCAATCTGCTGATAGCTCATCAATGCGACAACGCACTGCATGCTCGACTACTTCCAAACTCGAATAATCCAATTCCTTGATCAAGCATAAAGTTGCCGATAAAAGGTTGGAGCTCTAAAGCGAAGTTCAAATTACCACAATAATGGAATAATCAAATGAATGTAAAGTAAATTTTTACCCTATTTAGTGGTCGCCTATGATAGTTGGCGTAATGATTTAAAACCGCTGTAGAAACGGTGCTGGCAGAGTCGGCAAAACGGCCGTCGGATCGCCTTTAAATATACAAATTTAAGATTATTGATAGAAAAATAGTGAAAGAGAAAGAGAAAGAAAGAAAGAAAAAGAGAAAGGGATAGAGAGAGAGAGAGGAAAAAAAAATAGAGATAGATAGAGAGAGAGAGAGATGGAATGATAGTTCAATTTTGTAAAATTATACTTACCGCGATCGTCGATCACGATCATCTTCCCAGTCGCTATTATCTCGACCATTGCGAAGAGAATAACGCTCCATCGATTCTTGTCGATCGTGGCCAGCACTACGACGCGCTGAAACGCTATGTAAGGTGGCTGTACTACCATAGGGATTGTGATTCAAATTTTGATGCTGATGATGCTCCTCCCATTCAGTCAAATCAGTCTGACTGTGACGATAATGGCCTGGATATGGTGGACGGTCCGTTTGATAGTATTCCTTTTGTTTTCATTAAAAACAAAAAAAAAATGCAAAGAAATATTTATCTGTTTTAGCATTAATTTCTTTCTGTTTGTTTACGGAATAAAGTTGGGAGAAATATATTAGAAACGCGACATTTTTATATAAAGAAAGGTTAGCAAAGAGCAAAACGTTTGTTAAGCGTGTGTACTTTTGCAACTTACCTTCATGGAATGCGTTGAAGCACTTGGTGGAATGGGTACCCTTTCACGGTACCCACTACCACTACTCCCACCACCACCACCACCACCACCACCACCACCACCACCACCACCACCACCTCCACCACCACCGCCACCACCACTTTCCTGATCTGTGTCAGGCGAACGCTACACGATTGGATTGTGTTTACAAAAATAATCCAATTTTTACATGATTGATTTTGTTGTATATACCGGAAAATCGTGTTGCATAACGTGTACAGAGTATGTGTTCACCAGGGAAGGTGTGCAGAGTGCACAGTTGCCAAGCACACATACACGAAAACGCATACGCAAAATGTGGTTTCAGTTTAGTAAATAATATGAATTTTTTTTTTTCAAATAAAAGATTGGATAACAATACAAGAAAAGGATAGAAAGTAGCATTTCAGTTTCGAAAATATGTAATTGTCGCTATTTGTTTGTACTCTTAATAATATATTTATATTATTTAAATCTTAAATATGTGGGTAAATATTTGAAGTGTGATTTGACGCATAGCTAGTATTTATTTAATTGCCTACGAAGGGCTACGTTTGTTATCTCTGAATCAGCTCTTAAAAAATATTACAACTCAAAGTCAAAATGTATGACGAATAAGACAAAAAAAAAAAATAATAATAATAATAATAAAAATAGAAAATAATAATAATTTAAATATTGCGTGCTGTAGTTAATTAACATTAAGCGTAATAGGTACGTTTGTATGTCCGTGTTTACATACGTATGCAATAGGGAACAAAATTTTATACGAGCAAACATTAAATGCATATGAAAACGATGAACTAATACAAATTTTAGTAACGTTGAATAATATTATAATATAAGAAAACGCACACACGTGCATAGTAAGCAAGTTCATTTTATATCTCATCATGTGTACTGCATGTAGTCTTTATAAATAATTGAAAATTTTATTTAAATGAAAAAAAATAAATAAATAAAACAAAAAATTTGCTCGATTTTCGAAACTTTTTGCACAATAGAAGATTGATTATCCTGTCATCTCGATGCAAAAAAAACAAAAAAAAATCAATTTTCTCCTACTTTTTCTCTCGGTATTTTCCTTCAAAGGCTAACTAACACAGTGCATATTAACAACTTCCAGGTAAATGCTGTTAAGTATTCAGTTGGAATGAATCCCGATATGTACATGTCGCATGTAATATCGTATATATTAGAAGTTACATAATTTGTTAAAACGTCATACGAATCATGTTTGCATACCTTGCTTATGATTT